GGGGAGAAAACATGACGTGTCTTTGAGGGGATGTTGATAGTGCGATTAATGGGGTCAGAAAATACTATAGGATCTGATTGTGGTCATTTCGAGAGAGAAAAAAAACACGACAAAGCAAAACAAAACAGAATGAAAAAGAAATAACATAAACATGAAAAAGAACTACCACAACGAATACAATAAACAAAATAACAAAACAAACAAAAACCAAAAATAAAAACCAAAAATAAAAACCAAAAATAAAAACCAAAAATAAAAACCAAAAATAAAAACCAAAAAGCACCACCCACCCCCAAAAAACCCCCTAAAAAACAACAACAACCAAAGAAACAAAAAAGCAAACTAAAACAAAACAGAAGATAAGAGGTAGCTAATTTTGAAAAGGCCATAATAATAATGATAATTTATTATAATGATATAACACAGTTACGTCACTCTGGAATCAGCCCATCCAGTCATTTCAGGAATATTCCACGGTAACTGACAGGGTCGTTTATTGGACTTACCTTTCTTACAATGATAAACACTGTAATTCAATATCAATTAATTTATTTCATTTTTAAATGACGAGAACATTTGAAAGACATATTATTAAGACTCTTTCAAGGATCCTGGAGAGGAGGGAGAAGCAGCAATGGCATTGTGCCGCCTACAATGACGCCTGTTCTCTAAGTAAGTAAGTAAGTAAGTAAGTAATTAAGTATTAAGAATCATTATAATAAATGCACTCATTTGGGAAGAAAAGTACTTTATGCAAACTCTGTGATGTGCTTAGTTTCGGTAACTGACCGGAGAGAAAAAACACCTCATTTATATGGGGTTTTTGTTGTTGTTTTGTAAGTGTTTTACGGCGCTCGCAACTGCAGAAGGTCACATGAGCGCGCGGGACACATTAAACTTTTTCGTTGGTAGGAAATTTTGAATTTTGCCCCGGGTGGCGGTGGAAGCCTACTCTTATCGATTTTAGACCACCAAGGGATCTTTAACTTGCGCAACTTGCATACGGGCCCTCCGAGATTTTTCGCCCTTGCCCGAGAAGG